GTGTGGTTAGTTATGGTGTGGTTAGTTATGGTGTGGTTAGTTATGGTGTGGTTACTTATGGTGTGGTTAGCTATGTTATGCTTAGTTATGGTGTGGTTAGTTATGGTGTGGTTAGTTATGGTGTGGTTAGTTATGGTGTGGTTACTTATGGTGTGGTTAGCTATGTTATGCTTAGTTATGGTGTGGTTAGTTATGGTGTGGTTAGTTATGGTGTGGTTAGTTATGGTTTGCTTAGTTATGGTGTGGTTAGTTATGTTGTAGTTAGTTATTGTGTGGTTAGTTATGGTGTAGTTAGTTAGGGTGTGGTTAGTTAGGGTGTGGCTAATTATGGAGTAGTTAGGTATGGTGTAGTTAGTTATGGTATAGTTAGTTATAGTGTGGTTAGTTATGGTGTGGTTAGTTATGGTGTGGTTAGTTATGGTGTTGTTAGTTATGGTGTGGTTAGTTATGGTGTGGTTACTTATGGTGTGGTTAGCTATGTTATGCTTAGTTATGGTGTGGTTAGTTATGGTTTGCTTAGTTATGGTGTGGTTACTTATGGTGTGGTTAGTTATGGTGTGGTTAGTTATGGTGTGGTTAGTTATGGTGTGATTAGTTATGGTGTAGTTAATTATGGTGTGGTTAGCTATGGTGTTGTTAGTCATGGAGTAGTTGGTAATATTGTAGTTGGTGATTGTTTTTCTGATAATAGCTGCTGCATGCATGTTGTTGCTGTTAATGTCATTGGTACCAATTTGCTAGCAATGTCATCGCTCAGTTTGTCAATAAAGGTCTTGCTCACCATTTGCATTCAAGTGCATTGTTTCAAATGGTCCAATCAGAGAATATCTCAGACCCAGTCCTTGGGTAAATGCAGTATCCACATCTTCTGCTGTGCAAATACCATCCTGTCAAAATAGCAACATTCTGGCTCAGCTAGCACTTGCACGTAAATACTGTGAGTTTACGCAATTGAAATGCTTTGATATTAAGAACCCAATTGTTGTACATAATACGCACAATATTTTCTCCATTAATATGCGGTCACTGTACTCKATGTTGGGAAAAAGATAAACTTAACWCAGAAACAGCTTATCTACTTTTTTTATGGCGTTAAAGTTATCTTTTTGCACAACTGTGTTTCTTTGGAAACATCGATKCAGCTCACAATAGCTTACCCTAGCGGTAATCCACCACAATAATAAGCCCCAATATCTCTATTCTATCTTTTCTAAACAAATGTATATCCCCAAGGTAAACGTTTGTGTAGTTCCTATTGTGACCGCCTAATATAGATTTGATTGCATATCAATCGCGTTCTTAGTTTGTAATGTTTTTTTTTTTTTTTTTTTTTTTTTTTTTTTTTGCAGCGTCCTTGAGTGCTTCCATTTCCTCAGAGAAACATTGGTGATGTTGAAAAAACTATATGTAACTTAGGAAAAGTGTAGAGACACCTCAACTATAAGCAACTATGGGAATGTTTGCCAATACCTCAACCAGTCTCCAGGCCTCAGCTATGACAGCGTACTGCAAACGGTTGAGAATAAACCCATTGACTTCTTTTCTCACAACAACAGGTGACTGTCCAATGTCTTTCATTAGACTGACTGTCTTTTCGACAACACTGCTGTCTGTCCAAGGTGAAGGGACGATTTCAACTAGTGGAATGTAATGGGGTGGGTTCACCTGCAAACACGGAAATCAAAAGAAATGAAAAAAAGTGAATGGCTACCTTGTTTTGCATTTTGCAATGGTTTGTAATATAAAAACAATTAYATAGAGTGTACACACTTGCGGCTCCTTCAATGCTCACCCAATACTGACTTAACATGAAATCCTAAGATAYATTAAACACTGTAAAAAAAAGTAGGTGAAAAAACTAACTGACGTTTACGACGTTTATCCTTCCTTTTTCCTCCGACGAACSACGCAGCTCACTAGTTCACCGCTAGTAGCCACCAATGAAATYACAAAACGACTATATGGAAACTACAGTTACCTACATTTCACAAAAGAACGCCATTGACGCACACTGTGACGCAAAATTCTTGACATGATTTATATCCCAATGTCATCGACTGAAAAAACCTGACTTAAAGGGGCGTGGTCCACTAGCATGCAATGTGGTCGTGTTTAAGATTTTTCATATGTGGAAAATGAGGTGACTTCGAATATACATCCATCGGTATTAACGGTCGAATCTAAAGCATCTCCGTTCATACAGGATAAAGGAATAATAAAGAGTAAGTTTTTGCTTATATTACGATGTATTTCTATTTTCAAACAAACAAAAGCTCTAAAGGGATGTGGGTGGACCATGTCCCTTTAAACAACTTAGAACCCATTCAATGTTGTTATGCCTCGGTGTTGACCCACAGTCACGTCTTCTAGCAAAGAATTTTGAGAGGAAAAGGGAAGGGGAAGCTCCGCGCAGATGCTTACGAACGATGACTTGCCACGCAAAACAGTGTGCATCCAAAGAAGTTTGTACTCGAGAGGAGTGTTTCATGGGGTGTAACAAGCCTACTACTTCAACATCACTACCTTACGAAATGATCATACATTATAATATTATAGCTATTACAACAATGTTAAAAATGATGGTTGCGATAGATTTTGTAATATTCCAGTTTCGACATCTTATTTGTGCAGCCTAAGGCCCTGTTTACATGAGATATGGTGCCCATACGTGGTAGGGCTAACTCTTTTGTTTTCTTTTCCCTGGACGATTGAAAACAAAAGAGTTTGGCTATACACTTAGGGGTACCATATCTCATCTAAACAGGGCATTAACCGCGAAAGCACGTAATATATTCTTTTATTCAGCAGAGATCCTATTGTAATGCAAACACTCTTTGCACAGAGAAGACAATACAATTTTATGCTTGATTGAAGCTAAGCTTGCACAAAAGAGAATTCGAAACTGGAGTATTACAAGTTGCTTACTGGATGTGCAACAAGGCATCTACTCCTATGAKTTAATTCTTCTGTGAATTTGGATGGTACTATACAGGACGAAGAGCTCGCTAATATGACGTCATTATTGGTTATTCTTTCATCAAGACTTGAAAACACTTTTTTCTTCAGGTCAATCCTCTCTGGGATACATTCCTAAAAATAGTATTCAGTTAGTGTACAGTATAACCTCACTTCGAGCAGCTCTGATGATAAACAAATAAACATTTTAACTCTGAGACAATATTAACTAATTGTTTATGTTTCAAAATTCGGAAAAGTGCAAATACATCCAAACTTGAAATGGTTGTCCACCTAAAGTGAAATTTCCAATGTTCTAATTGTGACGTGTYATATGATGCATATTATGTACATGTAAGTTTCTGCAATGTCCATATAGAATATTAAAAAAAAATGCCTTGTCATTTCTCCACTATTGATAGTTTTCACCCATTCCCATGAGATTCAAAAGATAAAAGACCGGCGGCCATGTTGGAGGAATGAACAATAGATACTAATGAGAATTAATCCTTTTGTTAAAGTTCCTCCAAGATGACCGCTTTGGTGTAACCTGCAAACGAACAATAAACCACATCTGATAATCTAAACATTTTTACAAGAAAGAAAAACGAATATGTCACATGGTAATAGACTTATCTCATACTTACTTAGTTGAACATGAAACAATGGCTTCAATCAATTCAATGCTAGAGTTTCAATAAAAAAAAGCCTCCAGTCTTGAATTATTGAAGTTATTGTTTTATGTTCATCCGAGCRAGTGTAGGATACATATTACTGTTCCGATTGAAATAGTTAAGAGTAAACATAGTTAAGAGTAGTTGGACAATGTTATAAGATTGACTGTACATTTCATTTCCATCAGACAATAGGACTTTTGCAGCTAGGAGTCACGTTCAATCAATCGGCTATCACAAAATGATGTTCAGAAATGGAAATAGGGGATCAAAATAAGTAAGAAGACAAAGTTTCAAGTSTCAACTCTAAATACTTCAAAAATGACAGCAAATATAAAATCATTTTTTTTCTAAAGAAACATATGAAAAAACAGAACTGGAGAGCAAGCCTATTTTCCCATACGTTTCTTTAGAAAAATCAATATTTGCTGTCATTTTTTAAGTATTTAGAGTTGAGACTTGAGACTTTGCCATCTTATCAACATAAACCTGCTTTCCATTTCTTAACATCAGTTTTTCATAACTGATTGATTTAAGGTAGGTGTGGTCATGTGACCCCCAGCTTCAAAAGGCCTATCATATCACATCCATGATGACATACCTGTACATAGAAGACTCCCTTCAGAGCATCATCAAGCTTATCACATGATGACACAAGCTGAAATGCTTCATCTGCACTCAGAGTACCTTTCTTGGAGTTCTTTTCCTCCAGCTGCTGGAGTTGTTTTTTAATGTTAGCCAATGCACTGGTCAGCTGACTGCTAAGAGTATCATACAGTACAACATTGTACCCTGCTCTGCAAAATAGCTAAACAGCATACAAATTACTTTAATTAGTTTCTTAAAACTTACTGCAATTAAATGGGGTGTGATTACATAAGATATGCTTCCCCTTGATAGTAGCGCTAACTCCAGGTGAGTGGAATCCCTTTTTGTGCAAGCTTACAGCTTCAATCAAGCATAAATTTGTTCAAGTATTCTTTGCACACAGAATTTTTGCATTACAATAGGATCTCTATATTACGTAATTATGCATCAAGGTTAAGGATGTGTTTTGTATACACAAATGAAATCTTGAAACTGGAGTATTGGTGACTTGAACACTGAATTTTAGCATTTTCTTGGTCAAAAGACAACAACTGCTGTTATTGGTAAAATATGATATGAGATAAGCATTTAATATATTCTGAATCRATGCTTTACACTTACTGTTGTCCAGCAACATCCAATAAGACCACTGAAACAATATATAAAAATATGAGTCAGAATAGCTCACCCAAGTTCTTTTTGCACAGAACAATAATATCAAAAAATGTTTTAAAAAAGCTGAATTATAAGGAAACATCATCTCAACATGACAGGGTTGCATTGGAGGCAATATCATTTTTTTTCAGTGCCACTGAAATCAATATTTGAAGGCAATATATTGCTTCACTTTGTAAACTTTAAAATGTCTTAAAAGAGAATTATAAAATTTTTATTTAGTGATTTTTTCAGCTTTTTTATTAAACCTTCTAACTGTAACTGACAATTATAAACAGCACTAAACTTTATCAGATTCATTATGAATAAGGTAAACAAAATCATAACTGCCTGAATAATTGCATATATGACTAACTTGAATTTTCTCTTACAAATAATGTTTATAATCTTCTGATGTAAAAAAATATGCATTTGCCTATAAAATATTTACGTTAGAYCTTAGAGCTTTTAAAACTGCTTTAATTCCTTTTAAAAATGCCTGTAAAGGTCTCACGCTTATATTTTATCTATTACATAAACAATATTTCGGAATTATAGAAAAAATATATTCTTCTGTGTTATTAATAACCACTTCTAAGTAAAATGAAAAAAAAAGAATGGTCAGAAATTAAAAAAGTTCATGTTTATTTACAATTAAATCCAAAAATTGAAAAAATATTACTCACCTTCCAATTATTGCAACTTTTCCTTTACTTTGTGACATAATTACAGCTGCGTAATATCAATGACTGCAAATCAATATTAGCATTACCACTACATTAAACAACACAAAATGGGTAGGGTAAAGGCAGAATGCGTTGWTACTGCAAGGGGACCCCTTTAGAGCCGATTTCGTATGAGTGGGACACCGTTAACGCACGGTTACCGCACAGTTACCGGACCTGGCCTGCACAATTTTGGTGAACCAATGGGGCACTTGAATTTGGTTACAGTACGATTACGGTCACAGTACAGTACCGTCCGTTTCCCACTCATACGAAATCCGCTCTATATCGAWGCGCATGGATTATTGCCAGAACATATAGCTTAAAAAAATTGGAGAACTGATATTACTCCAAAGGTTGTATGTTTCAAAAGTTTCTGACGACTCTTTGTCAGCTGGTATCTTTAAGGGTGCTGTAGCTTTTAGGGTTATAATGTCCATCTTCCTAAAAGTCTGGTACCTTTTAGGGGCATTTTCTTTATTTTTCAAATGATAATCCCCATTCTAAAAATGAGGGACTACTCCCAAATAAAGCAACTGGAGGTGAGGGGATTATTTTGATCACATGGGACATGTATAGACATTATTCAAAGACYCGTTTTATTATAATAATAGTAGATTGTCATGTGAGAATTGTTTGGACAAAGTAATACAGGCCCCATGTTCACATGATGAATTAAATTTCATTAAACATATATCTGTGACACAACATGAAGAATTGTGGTAATATAAACAATAGGGAAATCAATTTTTACACTAATTCTCCACTGTTAATAGTTTTCATACTATTTTAATATCGGTATATATATTGAATGCATTGGCTTCCAGCCAATAAGAAACTCCAAAACGGGAACTTTGACATTTGATGCAATATAATTACTGATCTTCACATTATCACAACAAATAATATGTCATCCGACAAAACAGAAGATATTTGTACCTTGACTAAAGTACAAAAGTGATATTTTTGAGCAAAATTTATATTGTTAGGTGCATTTGCCGTGCATAAGCGCAGCCATTTCTTGTGAAGTATATAACTTAAGTTAAACTTRTATTATTATAAAACTCATTCAATGCCGTTATTGTGTTCCGTTCGTTGCAGACCTTCAATTATGTCAGAATCCACTCAATAKTCACCTTATMATTCACTTAACTATATATTTCATTGATACACAATGCCCCTCATCTGTAATGCACAATACTTACATAATTCCTCCTCTGTTTGTTTGCTTTTTTGGTCGTATGAGGGTCGTATGACAAAATGCTTGCCTCGTGAGATCAGATCACTGCTTGTAAAAGAATCTAAAATAACTCCTCCTTTCTTTGAAATGCTATTCCAACAAAAACGAGCTTAAATAGTAAGAAAATGTAAAATAATCAAATATATATGTGAAAGCCAAGAAGGCCGAGGAAAATTATTAGTGAATTTACAATATTAAAGCCAGGCGTTGCTTTCACTGACCGAAAGAGATTGATAAAAACTGGCCGTTAGAGGACTAGGCACCAGGAAATAAGTAACAGTAAATTAAGTAAATTATATTTTTGGGAGGAGAGGGTAAAACCATTTGAAATACAATTGATATAAATATAGTCGATTGATATAGGACATTCTAGAGTAAATAATGATATAATTTCCCAGTATCAGTTATTTTTCACATATCCAAACACACAGATACTTGACTAAATATTACCCACCCCTCCCCTCAAAGTTATATTAATCATTGTAGTTTCACTTTCAAGCACGTGACTAAATGAAGTGTTCTGATTAGCTAGTGCCTCAGCTTGGTTACTAATTTTAGAATTCGGGGATTCCCCTAAAAATCCCCTCTCATTCCACGAAAATACACRACTTTAAAGTCAACTGCTGAAGGAACTCGATCTAATATTTCCCATTTGTTTACTTCGTAAAGACGCAACGCACTGAATTAACAAGAACGTTTGACTTAAACCTCGATCCATGAACCACCATTGAAATCGTCCACAATAATAACAGCGAAGTAAGTCTTATTTAAGTTAAATCTATATTTTTCAACTTGTGTTAAGTCTACYAAAAGACTCCTTTTTATTTCAATCAATCGATGTTAGCTGTGTTGTTTAATATTTCACTAGTTCAAATACAAGCTGGTCAAAAATGCTATCTCATCCTCATTTTGAGCGAAGCATCTCTCTGAACGATTTGGACACATCTGTAAAAGTACGGGAGCATGTCCAAAAAGATGTTGTTAACCCAGAAGATGACTCAAAACAYTCCTTCTTCAAATCCATGAGCCAGTTTACATTGGTTCTTCGAAGCTTCAAAGACTTYCCCGTTGACTACAAGAAGTTCTTGTACAGTTATCTAGTCGATTTGGTGGTATTTCGTGAACTTGAAGMATGCAARAGGCTGAACTGGTGTGAAGGCTTGTTTCCWATGGTTCCTGTTTTAACAATGGGTGAYGGRAATTGTTTGATGCATGCTGCTTCTATTGGGATGTGGGCTGTYAGTGACCGCTATCATACCTTGAGGAAGTTGGTGTACAATGCTCTGCTTGAAGATGTTGACAGTGAGTTTAACAGATAACTTCCTGTTCTAGTTTTAGATTCTTATTCACTAAACTATTGTTTGATTCACATTCTTTGACATTTAGTTCAGCACCTTGGCTTTACTCATGATGCAATAATCTCTTATATCGCACAAAGATCATGAACACTATTTAAAAGCATGTCAATTATAAACATAACATAGAAATTATTATTTTATAACTTTCATGGTATGCAAAGCAAATATCAGACAGCAGATCATGCAAAAATTKGAAACTGTTATCAGACTCAACCTATTACTTTGTTTGAATGGCAGAGCTACGTTGGCCTGTATGACTCTACATAGTACACGAAAGTCTACTTCATAATGTAAATTAAAAACTTTAAAATAAAATTCTTTGTTGAATGAAATCCAACAAAAATGTTATGTTTACACATCATTGGGGAAATTGACTGGGGTATTCCCCCAATAAAAACATGTCATTACAAATAAATAGAACGGGTGCTCACTCCTTTTCACCGATATGTACTGTTCTTCTAATGGATACAGTCCACTGCATAAAAAATATTCTATTTAATTTACTGATTACTTGTTCCAAGGAGAATTCATTCTTTCTTGTTTTTGGGAATGCTGTACGCAAAGATTAAAACAGCCAAAAACCATGTCATTACTTGTTAATAAATGCTCTTTTTATTTTTTAGAAAGAAAAACAAAATGTTGCTGATTAGTAAATTTTGATTAATATCAAACTTGAAAATAGTGAAAACAGGTTTTGTTTTTATAAGTGGGATTTTTTTGTACAATTTTCCAGTCTTCACATTTGTGAATTTTACAAAAGACATGTTTTAATTGATTTTTCTGTCTCTTGAATCTGCAGGATTTTATCACAAAAGATGGCAAAGAGAGATGGAAGTCAGCAATCTATCTCGTCATGGTTACGAAATGACAGAAGAACAATGGACCAAAGAATGGCAAATTGTGCTGGAACTTGTCTCACAGGGTGAATATCCMCTTGGCAACAATGGTATGCAGTACAGCAGTCTTGAGGAAATCCACATMTTTGTTCTTGCCAATGTTCTTCGCCGTACAATCATTGTAATATCAAATGACATACAGAGAGGGAACTATGATGAGCCCTTGACCCCCCTGAATTATCCAGGTATATACCTCCCCCTGAATTGGGACCCTGTTGACTGTGTGAAAACCCCTCTKGTRATTGGCTATTCACAAGGACATTTTACAGCTGTGGTAAGTTTTGAGGATGGAGTATTTGACAGAGGTGAAGTTATTGATGACTATGGTGTGAAGGTTCATGGCGTACCCCTTCAACAACACAAYGGCAAACCTCTYCCTRTCCATTTTCTGCTTGAAGATGAAGAAGATATTGGTGATGGTCTRATACGGCAGTATTTAGACTGTACAAGAGTCCCCCATAGGGACCCCCAGAGTAACAAGGATGTTATYACTTTAGCTGCAAAGCTACAATTCATGAAACCCCCAGGATGCATTGCTGGTTTGGTTGATTCTTTCTTTTCATCTGCTCAAGATACTTACACAATTATGTTGCATCAGAAATCTGAAAATCATAGTTGTCAAACTCCTTTACTCCAATTGGAGCCGTGCAAGACAGAAAACTGTCAGTTTTTTGGTACATATGAGACTCTGTACTTATGCTCGAAGTGCCTTGATGAATATTTGATGAATGAATCTTCTGGTGCAGCAGGGAAGGTAAAAGAGGCACTGGTCAACAAACAAATGGAAGGAAGGCATTATGAAAGCCATCAAAAACAGCAGCAACAACCCAATGAATTACAACTACAGCAAGGCTTTGAAAAACATCAACATCAACAACAACAACAACTGCTGTCTGAGCAACAGCAAAATCCCCAAAAGCTACAGCAGAAWATGTGTGCTAAAGGTGACTGCAATCACATCTCATACCAAGGATGTGGTGATCTATGTTTGAGATGCTATGACTCAGATGTTTTGTTAAGACAACAGAACGCTACGTCGTCAAATAATGCAACTCCAACAACATCCTGCGTCAACAAGGTCAATGGGTGTGAGTTCTTTGGCATTCCACAACAGGAGGGTTTCTGTTCAAGATGCTACGAAAGATTTTGCGCAGAAATGCAGTCACTTCGAATTGAAGACAGCCGCAAACCAAGAGGACAAACTGGCCAGGGACTGCCACAGGAACGACGATGTCAAAACCAGGGTTGTACAAGACCAGCCTGTCCAGAGCTGTATGACAGATGTGTTGAATGCTATGGTGACTGCATCAAACAGTTTATTCATGCAAATGAAAGGTAAGAAAAAATACCATAGCTACCGACACTACAAGCATTGTCAAGTATTGCCATTGTCTTTTTCACTAAAGCCAGCCGCACACGAAAGGAAAGTGCGAAAGGGAAAATCCACGCGAGTCGCTTTAAGCAACGTGTGCGAACCAATTTTTGCTGATCTGAGCAAAACGCTGCTCAAAGCGCCTCGTTTGGCATTTCCCTTATACACTTTCCTTTCGTGTACGGGGGGAGGGGGGGGTGCTTATAAGGCCAATTTTACCAATAAATTATGAGAAGACGGGAGAAACGAGGACGGTGCTCATAAGCGTGTGAAAATCGCTTAACGGAAACGAAAGCGGCGAAGAAAAGCGAAAAAAGCTGTGAAAGTGTAAAAATAAAACATCAAAACCTTCCGTTCTTCTTCATCCAGCTTCTTTGCAGCGTCGGTCTCCTTGTCCGTTTCTTTCTTATTTAGATTGCTATCGCCATTATTATTATTATTATTATCACATATTTTTAGTTAGTATTGTACGCAATTTAGCAATTCTTGCTACCATGTACATAAATAAAGCTTCTATTCTATTCTACTATTGCAATTGTCTTGTATTAATACGAGTATCGCCCTGAATGCTTTGCGCACCTCATCACACGAAGTTTTTTACATCTATTTCAGGCTATTGAATGGTCGATTAAAATAAAGTTCATGATAAACTTGCTGAGCTTCCAGTTAAAAAAGAGCAAAAATTAAGCGTGCAAAGCAGTAAAGCTTCAAAGCTGGTATAGCTATATTGAACAATCAGAAACAAGCGCATCTTTTCAAACCGAAAGCACTCATTGACGGTCGCAAAGCATCCAGGGTAATACTGATCCTTTAACATATGCTGTTGACATTTGAATTACAGACAATCCATGGAAGCCTTTGCTGCTCCGTCACCTGAGCAGCCTCCTCAAACCCCCTTGCTTCCAAAGCTGTGCACCATGCCTGCATGTCAGAATGAAGGACAAGAGAAGTATGGCGGCCATTGTGTCCACTGCTTTCAAATCAGACCGTACGAAGTGCCTCTGGATATCGAACGACCATCTCAAACATTCAAACAGAATGAACAAGGATTTTCGTCACCTTTTTCCCATCAGCCTCCGTCACACAACGTCCATTCACTATTGTACTGTGAAACACCAGCATGCGGACAGCCACTCGGCGAAACAAGTGGCACTCTCTGTACAAAATGTATAATGAAAAAGTTCCAATTGAAGAGAAAAGTTTCCCCACAACAACAGCAGCCATTTTTTATCGAAAAAACATTACCAAGCAATGAAGAACCTCAGAGTAGTGAGAGAAAAGAGGAAGTCTTACGTGCTCGTGAGAGGCTACAGCCATTGTTTATCCCGCCACCTCGTGACCAACTCCCGTTTGGTAACACTGCACCAAGAATTCCAGAGAGAAAAGTGCTGGAGGTGTTTAAACCTGGAAATGTAAGTATACAGTTCAGCGTCTATTATTTTAGAGCACATAACTACTTACTTCCACAAATCATTTCATCCGCGCAATGCTAAGGAAAAAAATGAAGAAATATACAAGAAATACAAACCAATGGCAACAAGAGAGTTGTGATGATATTTCCTCATTAAAAAAATTGGAATACCGCAGAGAGTGATGTTTCCCGCGAACGTCAAACGTCAAATTGGCTTTTAAGCTTGGTTTTAAGATTTTAAACAAACGTAAAAACGCTTGGAAAGGAATAGTGATACTTACGCTCAAGATGTTTACCAACAACAGTGACTCTTTCACCTTGACTTAAAATATCCCTTGTCTCTCTTTCCATGAAGATTAAAAAAAACAGACAATCCTTAAGGCAAAGACAGAATGAAGCAAAATGCTTGCAGTCTCATGTTTTTGTTGTATTTTTGTTTATCTCAGGGTAACGCAGAAAACCAAGAGTCTGGAACACGTTGCCTCACACCAAACTGTCCTTTCTTTGCCAACCCTGAGACTCAATTCCTGTGCACCAGCTGCCACCAGAAAGAGAAGAAAGAATGGGAAAAGATTAATAAAATGGCACAAAGACAACTACCGCAACTTCGTAATTGTGCGTTTACAAACTGCTATAACTGGGAAAGCCCAGGAAATGGTGGTCTGTGTGACAAGTGCTTTCAGACGGGTATCCGTAATGAGAAGGTCTGGGATTCACAAAACCGACGACAACCGCCGAGAGAACCCCAGGTAACGTTCGCCTCTTCAGCCGTTAAGACGTGATATCGGTCTATATGCTCCCTGCCACTTCTTCCCTTTATATCATTTTGTTGTACACAGGAAGCCCAAGAATAGCGAGTATCATATAGTCGTCGAGTATGACAAATTATCTCTATTGTGATCTTGAGGATCATTGTTGCAGACATAAGAGACACTAGTGTCTCTTTACTTAACAAATAGATCTTTTTTTTCCGTGCGTGTATACTCTAATAGATACACAGATGACGTCAAAATGTAGTGAGAACAAAAAAGTACGCACGAGACGCAGTCGAGTGCGTGACTGTTGTTCTCACTACATTTTGGCGACATCTGTGTATCTATTAGAGTACACACGCACGGAAAAATGAGATCTATCTGTTTTATACAACAAACAATTAGTTTTGACGTAATCCGTGTATCTATACTTTGATAACACACGAAAGCCAATCAATCAAAACGTCTGATTTTACTGAAAAGTTGTATAAATACTTCTATAGCTAGCTGATCATAAAATACCGGTCACTGGYCCCAACGCAAGGATTCTGAAAATTATTGACACYCTTGTAATCCACATTAACTGCACGAGAAACTGACGATTGTTAACGAGTAGTTTTATACTAWGATTAAGATTTTTTTTTACAGCGACAACAACCAGTTTCGCCAAAGAAAAGCTCTCCTCGTAAGACTACAAATTTCATCAGCACCGGTTTGCCTTGTAATTCCCCAGGCTGTCTCAGGTTTGGTACAGAAGACAAACAAGGCTATTGCGATCGCTGCTTCGAAAAACAACAATCCAGGCAAGCCATTAAACCGAGTCCACTCACAGAACTACCATCCTCTGCCAATATTAGACGTGAAAGACCTGAGCAAATCCCAAACCCCAATCCTATTGCGCATGAGCCCGTTCTAGTCTCCCAGCCGCAATCTAGAGTTTTTGGAGAGAGGTCTGGACGATTTTCTAATATTTGCGTACAAGAAGGATGTAAAATGACTGGAAGTGCACATTTTGGTGGATATTGCTCCAAGTGCTTTGAAGACTACACAAAGTTACACAGTTATCCAGAATCAGTTGCAGGTATATTAACAAGGGGGGAACTAGCACTAAACTTGTGTGTGCTGCGTCGGTGTTTCTAAATAAACATTTTGTAACGAGATAAATTCGATACCGGAAAATAATAGTTGAAATAACTTACTGACATAGCGGAACGTAGCGGAACSTAGCGGAACCTAGCGGAACGTAGCGGAACGTCAGTAAGTTATTTCACCTATTTTTTTACAGTGTTAAACATTAATCTTTGTACACAACTGCAAGTATATTACGCTAGTTACTATACTTTTAGTATTTTCACTCAAATTAAAGGATCGAAGTAGTTTATTCTAGCACCTATTTTTGTACTATTCATGTTGCACGGATTAAAGACCCACGTGCATCCAAAATCCTTTGCGATCTTTTCTTTTGTTTTGCAAATGAGCTTTTGYTGAAAGTTGCTTTCTGATTGGTTCAAAAATTAAAGATGGCGAAATTTTGTATGTGAAAAAATCGCGCAAAAGTCCTTGGATGCACGTGGTCCTTTAAGTGTGTGCTTTCGTTGTTCTGGGAAATTTTTTAGAGCGGATTTCGTATAACTGTGCAACGGCACGGTTCAAAACACGGGCACGGCACGGCATGGTCACGGAACCTCGCCTTCTAGGATTCCAAATAAAAATAAAGATTTAACAATACATCACCGCTAAGGAACGGTACGGTTACAGCTTGAAAGTATCGTGTTTTTCAGTCATACGAAATGCGCTCTAATGTTTTACGGTCATCTTCATTGTGTTGTTTGATGATCTGTTACTTCGACAATGAAAATTGCCAACAGAATAAGAATGATACAGTAATGATAGTGCTTAAAATGATAATATTTTTAATTATAACGATAATTTATCACAAATATGACACCAGTTCTATTATTTATTTTATATATTTTCCATGTTWTCTTTAAGATTTGGTATCATGTCAAGAGCCCCCATCGCCAGAACAAAGTGTCARCACCGAACCGGTTTCAACAGGTTTGACTACTTTGCCGCCAATCTCTCCACGAACCTGCGCAATGCCACGATGTAATAACCAAGTGCAGCCAAGCACTATGAGTCACTGTAGAGACTGTTTAGCCAAACTATACCCCCAGTACGCACGCGCAAATAATATGACATGAGTTAGTGAGATTACGTGACTATGGTATTGCGTGACTATAAATTTATTGAGCTGCTAAATTTAGGTATTATTAGGTAGTTGTTGCGCATTTAATGTGTTTGTATTAAGGTGTCACAAGATCTTCGCACACTGGAAAAAATCGCGCGCTTTAAAGGTTGTAAATTTGATGTAAATATTATGTAAGTGTCCAAAATGACAAAATGATGTAAATTTGATGTAAATTTACATCAAATTTAAGCATCAAATTTACATCATTTTGGACACTTACATAATATTTACATCAAATTTACAACCTTTTAAAGTGAACGATTTTTTCCAGCGATATGCTTTAATTTATAAATTGCGTTATAGCAATTCACTCTTGTAAATATAGCCAACAGCAAATRCATTTTTCTAGATATGGTAGATATTTATTTATTGAAAAAATAGATTAGAGCAATAACATTATTATAACCTCGTTAATTATATATCCATTTTTTGTCTCTCCCAAAGTAAGCAAGGGTCATTGCATAGGGTCATTTGAAGAGAATCCGACCGCTGATATCAATATATATTGTAAATATGTTTGATTGATTATATCAATTATAATATAAGATGTGTTTGCGTTCAGAATTTTTACAAATGCCTGTATTCTCATTTGATATTACTAGAGCGGATTTCGTATGAGTGGGAAACGGACGGTACTGTACTGTGACCGTAATCGTACTGTAACCAAATTCTAGTGCCCCATTGGTTCACTAAAATTGTGCAGGCCAGGTCCGGTAACTGTGAGGTAACCGTGCGATAACGGTGTCCCACTCATACGAAATCCGCTCTAGTCCATTGGAACACTAAATAACTGTCAATGTAGTAAGGGCTTTAATTTATCGACTGGGCATCGTGTTTATAAGAGCAGATACACTTCAGTTTATATTGTCAAAGGGGTAAAAAACCTTGCTGTGTTTCATTGAGTAACAAAGCACTTGTAGTTAGACACTAGATATACCAGAATAACTTTGTTTCTATTCACGTTTTTA